CAGAGCGGGTGTCAGTGCGGCGGCTCCAGGGGGTGGCGCTGGGGCGCTGCGGGGCGGTGCTGGACTCGGTGGCGAGGGTCTCGGTGGTCTCCAGGCGGTGGTCAGGGGTGGCTTTGAGACTGGGCTTGTGGGAGGTGACCGTGAGCTCCGCAGAGGGGCTCTCTGCAGAAGTCCAGTCTGTGGTTGGGTTCCCTGCAGTAGCCACTAGCCCAGCGATGGGGTTCTCTGTAGTAGCCAGGGACTCGGTGCCAGGATTCTCTTGGCCAGGGACTGACTCAGTTGTGGGCTCCTCTGCCACAGCTGTAAACAGAAGGTTTTGATTACGCTCTTGACACTTGGCTACCAGTGCTCTGTGGCCTGGTCCTTAAGGAGCTGCAGCTATACAAGTCAGGGAAATGGCCCCCTGAACTCTGCTGTTATTGAACACGCTCCAGCTGCTGGTTCATTCCACCCCTCTGAGCCCAGCTCCAGAGAGATGGCTGCATCAGAAATCTCAAGCCCTACCCACTGCTTAGTTGTTCCCTTCATATAATGCAGTGTTTTCACGCAGCAAACAGCCAACCTGTGGAACTCCTTGCTGGAGGATGCGGGGAAGGCCAGGACTTTAACAGAGTTCAAAAAAAGAGCTAGATAAGTTCCTGGAGGAGAATCCATCAATGGCTATTAGCCGGGATGGGCAGGAATCGTGTCCCTGGCCTCTGTTTGCCAGAAGCTGAGAATGGGCCACAGGGGAGGAATCCCGGGATGATTCCCTTTGGTCCGACTCAGTGTGGCTGTTCTCATGTTCACTAAGCATCAGACCCCTCACAGGCATCTCTCATGCCACCAGTGACATCTGGGATTAGGGCCCTCGACAGCAAAAAGGACCAGCACGTACAGGGCCCCTTTCCTTGATCCCTAACTGCACAGGGTGGTTTCCAAGAGGACTCGGGGGCAGAGCCGTCTGGGGCTGGGAGGAAGGCTGCGGGGGGTGGGCTGGAGCCAGGCCCCAGGAGCTGGGGGACTCCTGGAGAGCGGGAAGGGGTTAGGAAAAGGTCTCCACACAGGTGGATTCAGGCCTATCCAGCCTGGCCCCCCTGCTGCCTGGGCATCACAGGCCAGAGTTCACATGGGCAGTAGGGACGTGAATGGTCAACCGGTGCCTGGGAGCAGCAGGACCATTCCCAGGGCTGGAGCTGCTCCTCACTACAGGCAGCCCCCCCCCCCCCTTTCATCAGTTAACTAGATCAATGCTGGTTAATGAATTAAATGGGATTTTCACATCCCTAATGAGCAGCCTGGCAGCAGGAGATCCTCACGGCGAGATGGCTGGGGCAGGCTTTGGCAAGGGGCGTTGCCCACCCACTCACAGTCACTGCTCTCACCCGCTGGAAAGGCCTCTCTGCGCCTGGCGGCAGCAACGCCACCTCACACCTGAACGCCGAGCCCTCCGTCACCTTCTCCCCGGGCACCTCCAGCTCCGAGTGGTAACTGAACAGCTCCTCCTCGTCACTCTCTTCTTCGGTCTCTGTGCCATGCAGCCTCTGGTCCCCCTGATACCAGCTCAGAGTCAAGCTGCTGGGTGGGTACACCTTGCTAGGGCCGGCCTCCCCCGCCACCAGCGCCCTGGGCTGGGTTTCCAGCTGCAGCGTGTCTGGCAGAGCTGAGGGGAGAATGGCATGTGAGGAAGGGCAGGCTGCCGGTGGGGGCCCCGGGTGCTGGGGCAGGAGTGGCCACTGGGGAGGGGAGTGAGTGGGACGTTCAATTCCTGCCCCCTCCCCCGAGGAGTCTTCTCCGATCTGTCCAGGGACCAGCGGCCAATTTCACTCCAGAAGCCACAAAACCACCTTTCTGGCGGTTGTTCCACTGGCCTTTTCACACCGGCGC